CCCCAAAACCCCAAAACCCCAAAACCCCAAAACCCCAAAACCCCAAGCAACTTATTCACAATGATTTTTATTATTAAGAGAAAAAGAAAATTAAAAAGAATTCATTTTTTTATTAATACGAGCTAATTATCTTAATGGAGAATTAGTAAAGCAATATCAGGCCCTAATAAAATGCCTTTTTATCAAGGAATTTTAAGATTCAAGATATCTATTTCAAAGCTAGCAAAGCACATCTTTTAAATATGTATGGCTAGAATACATCTTTGCTTAGATTAGAAAAGCAAACAAGTTCAAATGATGATGTAATAAATCCGCAAAAGATTAGTGTAAGAGTAAAAAAGTAAAATAAGCCCACTCTTACTTTGACCTAGAATGATTATCAGGAGTTAAAACATACGAATGCGTTATTATCAAAGATAGAATCCCAGAATTAGGATAATATGCTAACGAATTATGGCTCTTTTTAAGGAAGCTACCATTCTCACAAAATCAGTGTTTTCTAGCCCAGATCAACTTAAAATGCTGGGATATTTTAAAAAGCTAAAGTGAGTAATGATTGGAGAACTACAAATAATACTCATTTGTCGATCTATAGAAATAACCTTCATCATATAAATTGGATTTCTCCATAAAGAGAAGAGACGGTAGAAGTACTCGGCAAAAGTATAAATCAGGATTAAAAGTCTCAAAATAGTTCCCACTCCTAACAAAAGTTTAGTAAATTCAAATAACTTTAAATCTTAAATGAAACTATGTCACGCATTTCTACAATTGACGCTCTCAATAATAATATCTTGGTAAAAAGAATAAATGTTGACAACAACCTTGCTTAAAATAAATCTCCTTAACCTAATTAAAACTATGCTATAGTGAGTCCAAATAGATACTAGTCATTGCAATAAAGCATTTAGTCCAATTAAAATTTGGAATAGTCTATTAATGTACCTTAATTTAAGCAGTAATTACTTTATAAATAGCTGACTCATAACCATTTTTAAAATAATGAGCATTCTTAGCCCTAGAAAAATATTTCATCGAATAGGGTCTTTCCCAACATTGCTTTAAAATAATATGTAAATGACTGTCTGGAACCTATATAAGGATATTAAGTAGAAGCATTCAGGCTGGTTAAGAGCAAGATGAACTAAGTATTAAGAAAGGAAGACTTATAAGATTTGCATACCAAGACTCTAAAGACTAAACTAAATAAGCTAATAAAACTTAGAGAGACATCTGATTTTAAAGTAAGACAGCGAGATGTTGCTTAATAGTTAGAGGAACTTAGTCCTAATTATAATAATTTAGAGAGGTTTGAGTAAGATTTTAATGTAGCCAACACTAAGAGGATGAAGAATAATCATTCATCTAGAAAATCATAAATTAACCAAAGGGACTCAAAACTACAAATGAAAAATATAAATAATTAAGAGTCATAGGCAAAGATAGTGGTTTTGCCTTCTGTCTAAACCTTGCAGCCTGAAACTGAATTGCAATAATGGACTTTTAGGCAAAGTCATTAGAACACTAATAGAATTAGCATTCATTTAAATAAGAATAAGCCGGATCCAAATACTGAGCAAGAAGATGAATAAACTGTTGGGGATTACGATTAAGATCATATCATAAATTTTAATCAGCATTATAACAACTTAGATCAAGACAAATTTTTTCATTACAACTAGTTTGGGCAGAGTTAATATAATAATAACGAAGATACATTAAGTGATTTAAAATCTTAGGAATTTATAGTCAATCAGAATCGAAGCTATAACAAGTCTCCAACTCCAGTATTATTCGAAGCATTTAAAGATGATATTTAAGAATAAGTAATCAATAATCAATAGTTTCGTAATACAATGTATATAAGAGACTAAAAATCATTTAAAACTTGTGAAGATTCTACTTTACCTATTAAAACTTTAAGAACTATAAATATACATGATAAAAGAGATAATAAAATGACAGCTAAAGGTTTTTCAGATTTAGCAAGATAAAGTATATATTTTAACAAGTATCCCAAAAGTAAGCTCGAAGATCAAAGAGGTAATCAAACGCTTGATGAGCTCATTAAGCTAGATGATAATGCTGATATATAAATTAACAATGATAAAGTTTAGAAAAGAAAGGAGGCAAGTATTATAGCAAGCAAATTTTGACTGTTATTTAAATTTTAATTATAGTTTAATTTCATTACTTTGTGAGATGAAATAATTATGATCAAGGGGTTTTGGGGTTTTGGGGTTTTGGGG